CACGAAGTTCTCCATGGTCGTGTAATGTGCGTATGACATCTGGAACCCAGGTCGAGGCTTATCTTCGAAGTGAAAAAGAGTAACCTATACAAAACTTTTGACCTTAGTTTCGGAAGTCTTTGGGAAGCCGAAGGTTACACAAATAAAGAAGAGTGCTATAAAAAAAAAGAGAGTACAAAGACTAGTGAAAACTATGGGTATACCATTCTTGTCCAACGTTCTTTGGCAAATTTCCTTTCTTGAGGATAGAAAACAAGGGAATAAGATGAATCTATTTTCTTATTTTCCTCTCATGTATTCGATTCGAGGAAAATACAAAGCAAAAGAAAAGAAAATTTTCCAAATGGGATTGTTACATACGCTGCATGCAAGTAAATTTGAAATATATTTTTTCCCAAGTCGCATATGCTGTAAGCAAACTCCAAAGTGTCATATTAAGTTGATGACCAAGAAGAAAAATGCCGTAGAAAGTTGAAACTTGAAACCAGAAGCAGAAAATTGAGCTGATGAGAAAGAATAATTTGAAGGAAATATGATGTTAAAATTGTTTCTATTACGATTTATGAATCGTAAAATTTTCCACATAAATTTCAGATTATCTCAAATTTGGAGAGAAAATGAGAAGAGGAAATTAGCTTTTATTTTCCATTCATTCCTTTTTATCTCTTCTTTCCCAATCAAGAAACACAGTTCTCTCATTTTGCTCCTATATTTTATCTTTTCCCAAATGCAATGTAAAGGAAAACACTTCACCTTTTTATTGTTAACAGAAAGAGCAGCACGAACAAAATCTACTCCATAAACATATGTCCTTACAGCCTCCTTTATCTTGCTTGATTCATCTTCAGACGGGTAAAGTGATGTGATATATTCAATAGAACCCAGTGAGGCTTTCATTGGCTTACTGCCTACAAGTCCTGCCTAAAACATAAAATCAAAGGAGCTATAACTCAAATGCCTTCCTGTAGATAAAAAGGATCTTGTGAACCCAAATTAAGCAAAAAA